AAGTTTTCGTCCGTTTTTATTTTTCATCTTTAATGTTATTCTCCAAATATTGTATTCTAAGCAATATTTGGTTGTTACTTATCTTCAGTGGAACAAAATAGAAAATAGTATTGGGTATCAGTGTTAGGTTGAATGGTGATAAATATATGGAGTCGATATGCTCAATTTAAATTCAACAATTTTGGCTGATCTTTCTTGAATACAGACTAAATGGAGTTTGTAAATCTTATATTCGCTAACATGCATCTCATCATTCGAGTTCTCACAATGTTATAATATAGACCATCTTTAACAATTGATATGAATTTTAATACCAATAATACATAAATAAACGATTTAATGGATCTTACCAACACTAATAATTGCCAATAGATGATTTTGCTACAAATATTATTGAAAACTCCTGTTTTATAGGAAAAACACCTTTTATAATTTTGAATAAATCATTTAAGTCGTCATAAGCATTCCTACTGACACAGTTTCTTATAAGATAAGCAATTATCGTTATTTGAATCTCATATTAGTACCGATAACATATCAGTAAATGATCTAACTTATCAACATATGCAACAGAAATGTCCTATTTACTTTAGAAGACTTCTTTTATAATATAAATAAAACAAAAACTATACACTTTTTTATACAACCCCACAAATCTTTGGTCCAAACTCTGATGCTCCATTACGATTGTTCTAAAATGAAGCTTAACAAAGGTTATATATGAAAAAGTACATCGCATTAATTTTGTAAATGTAATTTAATAACATTCTGTAACTAAATTTATAAAAATATTTTAATTCTAGATCTTTCATTGTTTATGTGCGTCAACATATTAGTTAGTTACTATTAATAAAAAAAAATTTCTAACATTTTTCGCGCCAAAAAGTTCTTATGCATGTGCCAGATAAAGCACTCACACTACTTTAAAAATATTCTTGATAATTAAAAACGCAAATAAAATGTTTAATATATTTGCTTAAATATAAGGCATATTTACCATATAAGAATAAAATTTATATAATATCTGAAGGTAAACTTATCGAATGTACTTACAAACATCGTTTAATTGTATATTTAATATATTAGCTGAAGATCTTAGTAATCAGAGCTATATCTATACATGTCAGTATTAGTTTTATAAACTAAAGTATTATTAATAAATAAATAAAAAAATATTTATTTTTTTACACATTTTAATACAATAATGAAAAAGCGACTAATATCGCTGGCGGTAATACCATGCTGCTCAATTGTATTGCAATACATTTTACATAAATACCAAAAATAAAACCTAATGAGAATTGTAATATAATTATATGAAATTTAAATTACACATATAGGTAAATGTCAAATTAAACTGCGACTTCATATTTCCCATTTAAAAATGTTATAAAATTTTGTTTATTATTGACAAAATATAGATATACTGTGACTAAACAAAAAAAAAAAAATAATAATTTCCAAACATATTCACAGATAAAAGAGAAAAAAAATTACATTAGGCGACGAATTATTAATTTAATATTTTGCGTATCGTTTAACATCGTTTAATTGTATATTTAATATATTAGCTGAAGATCTTAGTAATCAGAGCTATATCTATACATGTCAGTATTAGTTTTATAAACTAAAGCATTATTAATAAATAAATAAATAATATTTATTTTTTTTACACATTTTAATACAATGATGAAAACGCGATTAGTATCGCCGGCAATAATGCCACACTTCTCAATTGGATTGGAATACATGTTATATAAATACCAAAAATAAAACCTAATGAGAATTGTAATATAATTATATGAAATTTAAATTACACATATAGGTAAATGTCAAATTAAACTGCGACTTCATATTTCCCATTTAAAAATGTTATAAAATTTTGTTTATTATTGACAAAATATAGATATACTGTGACTAAACAAAAAAAAAAAAAAAATAATTTCCAAACATATTCACAGATAAAAGAGAAAAAAAATTACATTAGGCGACGAATTATTAATTTAATATTTTGCGTATCGTTTAACATCGTTTAATTGTATATTTAATATATTAGCTGAAGATCTTAGTAATCAGAGCTATATCTATACATGTCAGTATTAGTTTTATAAACTAAAGCATTATTAATAAATAAATAAATAATATTTATTTTTTTTACACATTTTAATACAATGATGAAAACGCGATTAGTATCGCCGGCAATAATGCCACACTTCTCAATTGGATTGGAATACATGTTATATAAATACCAAAAATAAAACCTAATGAGAATTGTAATATAATTACATAAACTTTAAAATCCACACATAGTTAAACGTCAATTTTCAAATATGTTAAATTGAGCCTTAATATTTCCCATTTAGAAATATTATAACTTTTGTCTATTATAGACAAAATGTAGGTGCTGTGATTAAAAAAAATAAGTTTGCAATGTATTCACAGATAAAAGAAAATAAAAATTACATTAGGCGACGAATTATTAATTTCATATTTTTCGTATTATACAATAATGAAAACGCGATTAGCATCGCTGGCAATAATGCCACAACTACTGGTGCCATTGCGATACATTTAATAGACATATCAAAACCAACCTAATGAGAATTAAAATTAAATAATATAAAATATTAACTATAAGCGTAGTTAAAGCACAACATTAAAATATTTTAAATTTTGGCTATATATAGTCAGCATTAAAAAATATTATATATTTCAATATATATGTTTATATTTTCTTTTTCTTAAGCAGTGACTATTAACTATACCTAAATGATTAGATGATTGGAAATTGTTTAAGATTTTCCATATGATTATAAAATAAATTTATACAATATTATATCCAATTAAAAATATTCATATGTACTTCAGATTTGGTGCATTGGAAAGAAAGAGTTAATAGAAATATATTCTGTATAAAAAGTACATGAAAGTAAGTATACATGGGTTTAGGTACAGCAAGATTGCAAGCAATTGCAAGAAACTTTGTGCGTGAATGTATTTTGTTGTTTTCTGTTGCAAGCTCTTGCAATCTATGCATTTCGTGCACCTTACAATGAGTTTGCAATGCATACACTTATTATAAAATAGTACCCAGAAATAATATTTAAGAAGTACAAAAAAGTAATTTTATCATTGTATGTACATACCTTGGTATTTAGTTTTAATAATTAATATTAACTTTTCAATCACACATGATAATTTCATAGGTGCATAGTAAGTTAGTCCTCTTCAATTAGCTAATAAAGCCGTTTTGAAACAAAACCTCCTAATAGTGAGTAATAGAGAGAACGTCAAGCTAGAGCCAATCAGAAGTGTTATTAAAGGCACAAATCTGGCTAATGCTACTGCTAGAGATATAGTCGAGTGTGTTGAAGAAGGTGGCCGCCAGAAACTTAAGCCTAATTCTGGCCAAGGTTGGATATAGACACATCACCACAGGTGCATAAAGTTTAATAAAAGTTTTACATCTTTCGTACTACTTTTTTTATTAAATCTATTAAAGTTTTAGGACATGCACAATATCAAATACATTTATCAATTTTTTATTAATTAATTAATTGAAGTTTAAATAATTTTTTGAATTAACTCTAAAAAATGGCAATTTGGTGGCCCACTGTGCGATGTGAAACAAACTACAAAGCTATCGATTAAAAATATTTTTAAAAAAATTAAATTTATTTTTACGGACTTATAAATCCACACACTTATAGTACATATATTCCTTTTTTCTGTGCAACGTACTTAGCAAAATATTGCGAAGTTTAAAGTCGTCTGAAAGAATTATAGTATAAATGTTGCTGTTCTTGCATTAGAGACCTTCTCGAAATAACCTTGCTTCAATGTTAAACTACGTAGTAAGAAAAAATGTGTGTATATATAAAAAGAAAACTTGCGTGATTTATATAAAGTAATCTCATATACATGTATTTGAACTGAGATAAAAATATTAAAAATGCATAACTCAATACATATATTAACATCAATCAAAAATAGAATAACCAAAAAGAGGTATATTGGATGGAATTATTATAAATAAAACAAACATTTTAAAATGTTATTGTTTTCGTAATTATTTGAGGAGTAATGGTGCTTGGGGAGTGCCCGGCACTAAAGCACAAGTGGAAGAAACATCTGTACACCAGCACAAGCGGAGGGTATTTCATGGATCATAAGGATCCAAGACTAGGAAAGATAAAAATTAAAATTATATTTTATTAAAATTATTCTGACAGTTCACTGGCGAGTGGGCAAAATTGGTATACCTTAAACCAGATGTATAGGAGCTACAAAGAGGAAGAGGAAAAAGAAACAAATGATCACTTTCTGTGCAAATGCTTAGGTCTGGCAATATTGAAATATTCCAGTATGGAAATTTACGAAATAAAGAGTATGGCAGACGTTATGCTAAGATGTATATATTAAATAATTATCTCTTTTGCGAACCCCTTAATGTGGTTTTTAAACTTGTTTTTACATGATCAAGTGGGGGTAACAAAACAGTGTCATTGCGATAATTAAAAAGAGACCAAGTTGAGATGCTACGCAATTCAAAAAGTATCACAAACATTTAGAGTTTGTGATATAGTGTTATATAGAGATAGGAGGAGAGGGTCTATAATGATAAAAATTTGCATTACATAAACTTGAACGTTCGCTTTGATCTGGGAAATATATAAAATATTGATTGACTTCTAGGGAAGATGATTTTATCACAATATTGGCTTCTAAATAAGTCTAAATTATGAACTTGAAGTTGTGTTTTAATAAGATTTTGGAATCAACTGCCTGATTGAGTATTGAAAGCTTATAGGGAAAATGTTTAATACTATGATTATAGTTTTATGTTTGTAGTTGTTAATTAGTTGTGGATATTTACCAAAATATGTTAAAAA